GTCGATATTCAGTTGCTTGCACTATTAGGGCAGTGCAGGAGTAGGAAGTGTCGGGGATGTGGGCAGCAGCATGGTCCTGCAGGGCTCAGACAAGGATTCCCATGGGCTGTGACTGTCGGTGCCAATGAAGGTACAAGTGCCACGGTTTCTATAGTGCTTCCTTCAGGGACCGGGTGCCATAATAAATGCTTTTCAGCAGCCTGCTGAGGGCACAGAGTTATCTGTTGACAACCTGCCTCCTTAGATCTGTGATTTCCAGTCTGGCTCAGTCCATGTGTCTCTGCCCTGTTACTGCCCTGCTGCCTGAGGTGAGACTAACACAGCTCCAACAAGCAGTTGTCCTTCCTCATTTTGTCTAATCAATTGCTTAGATGAGATTTAGTCTGTGTTTCAACATCAGTTATTTTGGGTATAGCAGATCAAGTTTCTCCATACAGAACGGATGTTACTTCCCAAAATTGCCTGTCATCCTCTGCGTTCACATTTTCCATGGGTGAGGAGAAGTCATTTGACTTCTTTGTGATAAACAAGACTCAGTGAGCAAAAGAGTTCTGGCTTGTTATTTATTGACTGGTAATGTTCTTCCTAATGCAAAGAGGCCTGACGCTGCATACGCTCCTCAAGAGTTAGTTGCCCCGTCAGCTGCCGTTTCTTATTGTTTGCTTCAGAGCTTGCTGATTAACCCAGTTTCTTCGGCTTTCCTTTCCTCTAGTTAATGTATAGCTGCAGTTTGCTTCCTGCTTTGCATCCATATGCCAACCACAGTTTGCCATTTATTCTGCCAAATTTATAGCTACATGCTCAACCAATAATCTGTCTAGGTAGCCAGTATGAATTATGTGCAAAAATGTTATTTCCTAAATCTGGATGTGATTATCTCTCAACTGTGTATTTCCAAAAAAGCTCCTCCCTTCCAAAGAGAGCTGGTAAGCAAGGAAGGAGAGCAGGGGCTTGCCAAAAATGTTTGTGCTGCTGTGCTCCTGTACCTAGCAGGCTGTCTGTCCTCCTGGCTAGCCAAGCTTAGTGTGCCTCTGTGCAGTTCCCTCGTATTACAGGCTGCCAGGCTCCTGGTCCTCCGTGCTGGGCAGGGTCAGGGACTGGCTGGGGTCGGGGG